TTATTAAATTTAAATTAATTTTTAAAATAAAAATTTTAAATGTTAAATTACATTAATAATTTTTTTATTATGATTTACTATAATATGATAATTTTGGGAATACATTTTGCATTTTCTAACAAAGCTTGTGGCTCATCTCCGCCCGCAATCAAACATTTTTAATCAAACTCATTAACAACCTTAATTAACTTGGCCAAAGAAAGAGACGGACAATGATTCAATGGATCAATGGATAAGATATTAAGATGAAGTAGGAACGTAGAATAAGGATAGAGCGCGACGCATCGTATCAAAACCAAATGGATTTGGATTTGGATTTGGATTTGGATTTGGATTTTGGACGGAAAGGCAACTTAAGATTTTTGGTACAAGAGTTGGGTCCAATAAAAGATGCCATAAACAGAGATCTATCATCATGAACTCTATTTTTTAATGAGAAAAATTAACTTTCACTCGCTTTATTTTATTGTTTTTTTGAATGTAAATTTTTTGGTATTTAATAATTATATTAGATTTTTATTAATTTCAAATCAAATTATATTAAATTTTATAAAAAAAATTTAATATTTATTTTTTATTTATAAAATTTAAATTTAAAATTTTATTTTAACAAAATTAAAATTTTTTTATTCAGATCAATAAATAAATAATTTTCATTCATTTTATAGTTCACGAGAAACACGCTCTTGGTTTTTAAAATTTTTTTATTTAGTGGTTAGGTACTTCAAGTTCACATATGATACTCGAAGCATGTTAGAAAAGAATTGGGTATGAGCTTTATTTAAATTTTAAAAAATTAAAAATAAGTAGGTATATAATAAAGTTGTAGGAGAAAAAAAATAAATGCTTTACCTAAAATCTTATTACATATTATATATATAGTTCTACTAATATTAGTTTATAAGCATTTTTAAAAAAATTAATTAAATCAAAGGTTGATTATCTACAATAATGTCAGAAAGTTTATAAAAAATTATCTACTTATTAATTTTTTAAAAATTAAATGTTAATCAATAAAAATAATTAAATTTATTTTTCAACTAAACCGAGTCTCTTTAGATTTTTTAAAGCTCTTTAGCCAAAAATGTGATTATACGCTCACGAGAATAGCAGAGAAAGTGGTAAAACTGACGTGTGAAATGAAATAAAAAAAGAAAAAGAAAAAGAAAAAGAAAAAAGGGTGATAGAAATTAGAAAAGACGGAAAGGAAAGGGGCCAGAGCCAAAGTATGGGCCGGAAGACCAAGAAATGCTGCGCCGTTGACTCGATGGAATGGAATCGGCTGGTCCGCGGTAGGTGACGGATATGGACCATCTCCATGAGCAGATCCGAATCCGGATTCTTTCCTTTTCCTCTCCCCTTTCTTCTTCACTTTTCCGTCTATGCCCTTTCCCATCTCCCCTATGAACAGCAAAGATCAAAAGAAGTCAACATATTACACATTGTTGTTTTAGACTCTCTAGTAATAACCAAGTTTTCACCCGAAAAATGTTATTAAGATCATTTATTTTATTTTATTTTATTTTTATAATTTCACATGTTATTAAAATAATTAATTTTTTTAATTTATATAAAATTTATGATATTAATTATATATACTTATTTAATAATATATAAAAATTATATATATAAAAAAAAAAGATTGTTCCTATAGCACTACTATTTTCCACCCTTTTCAGTGATTTGGGTGAAGTTTCAAAATTGGCAACGCGGTGATCTGATACCCTATTAATTCACTTAGTATTAGGTGACTATGATGAAATTTTAGTGCAACAAAACGTAATAAAAGATGTACTTATCTAAACAACAATTACATTTGTAAGTAAGGTGGACGGCTCTCCATTTTGAAAAATAGGTTCAAATACCCCAAGTACAAAAAAAGGGGTAAAATAATAAAATAAATAAAGGATTTATAATAATTTTTTTTCTAGTTTTCATAAAAAATCAGATAAGTGCAATTAAAGTATCACATTTCAAAAGGAAATTAAAAATAGTTGAGATGTGTAAGTATAAGCACTTCTTCTATCATGAAGATAAAATTATAAGATTTTAAGTAAAACTTAAACTACTGTGAAAGTTTCTCTTACCATTTTTGTTTAACCACCACGTCAATCATAATTTGATACATTATTACAAATAAAGTTATATATCAATTTATATAAGTAAAAAATGTGTCTTTTTTTTTATAATTGTTTTCTTTATACATCAAATTATCAGTAACTTGTTATTATATTAGAACAATAACTCTATGATAGGGTGTAGGCTTTTTATATAATACTTTATAACGGGACATAAATCTTTGTTGTCACCAGAACCAAACCTTGTTCAGCATGGGAGCAAACCCCATTATTTTAATCACACAAGCCAAAATTCCTTGGTAAATGAAATGATTTTCATGTCCCAGCGAAATGTTTGAGCTAAGCTAAGCCCAAGACCAAACCCTCAAATGGAATTAGGCAAGTGGGCATTTGGATTCTGTTTTCACACAAGCCCACATGACTTCTTAATCCAAATTAATGGGCCAGAATTAGTAAAACAAAACCCAAATCATCCTCTACTCATATTAAAATTGGCCCTCACTACATCATTGTCTTCCTAGAGATTGCTTTGAATATTTGGTTGGCATTAGCGTTACGCTAAGACAAGGATACCTCACGAAGTGATAGCAACCTGCAACCGCTACCTTTTACTACTATATACAAATTTGCAAAAATCAACTCAGCTTAAATATTATTTGACATAAACCTAAATAAAAGAAATATTTTTTGAAGGCTCTTTTTTCTCCTTCCTTGCTGAAAGAAAATTTGTAACTGCTTTTTTAGATATAGGTTAAAGGTGTAATTAATATTATATTTTTTATAATTAAATTATATAAAATTTGTAAATATTAACTATAATTTAATTAATTCTATAATTAAAATCATTCATGTATTAATAATACTAAAGTAAAGATAAATTTTTATATTTTTATGTAAAATTATAAAACAGTATATTTATTATGCCTTTAAATTAATTTGTGTTAGAATATAAATTAGATGAACTTATTTTGCAATAATAATAATACTAAAAACAAGACGATTGATTTATCCTTTTTTTAAAAATAGCCAAATTAGCTTAGCCAAGTATAAGAGAAGTAGTGTAAATAAAAGTTTTGTATTTTTTTATCTTTTATATTTAAAAATTATAAATTTTTTGAGTTTTTAAATTAAAATTTTTGTTTATTGTCAATATCAATTCTAATAAATCTTTAAATAAAAAAATAAAAAATTTCCATCATTCCTCAAAAGAAAAATAAAAATTTATCACCTAATTTAAAATTTTAAAAATTAAAAAAAAATTATTTTTAAATAAAAAAAATAAACTTTATATTTTTATCAACACATTATTTTTTCAAACAGAAAATAGTGCGCAGCCCTCAAAACAGTTAATTTTACAGGATAGAAGGGCTAAAAATGTAAAACACCGCCCTCACCCAACTAACCATACATCACCCACTTTTCATGGATAGAGCCCAAGACAAAAATGCAACTGCCATTCAACCCCGGCACTCCACTCCACCACGTGTCACGTTCTCATTCGTCCTTTCCTTGCCTCTTCCACGACGCAATCACCTGAAATCCCCAAAATACCCTCGGACTGTTAGATTTTTTTAGCCTTCGCGCACGAGCCATTCGTGTATAAAACCAATCTCTCCCTCTCTCTACTTTTCTACAACCCCGTTTCACATGGATCGTGTTTTTTTCTCTCTTCTCCTCCTAGCTTTCCTGTTTGGCTCCGTCGTTTCCTCGACGGAGTCTTTCTCCGTCGGCGGAGACAACGTCGATCCGTTGATCAGGCAGGTGACGGACGGCGATGGTGAAACCGAGCCGCATCTCCTGAACGCGGAGCACCACTTCTCGCTCTTCAAGAAGCGGTTTGGGAAATCTTACGCATCGCAGGAGGAGCACGATTATAGGTTTAAGGTTTTCAAGGGGAATCTGAGACGTGCGTTCCGTCATCAGAAGCTAGATCCATCGGCGCAGCACGGCGTGACGAAGTTCTCCGATTTGACTCGGAAAGAGTTCAGGAGGACGGTTTTAGGGTTAAGGAACTTGAGGCTGCCTAAGGATGCTACTCAGGCGCCGATTTTGCCTACTGACAATTTGCCTGAGGATTTTGATTGGAGAGAGAAGGGAGCTGTAACCGATGTTAAAAATCAGGTGTCGTTTTCTTTTTCAATTTTGTTCTCTTCTCAAGGAATTTTTTGTTCATAAATTGATATTGATGACGATTCAACTGATGATTAGGGTTCATGTGGATCGTGCTGGTCTTTCAGCACCACTGGCGCCTTGGAAGGCGCTCATTTCCTTGCTACCGGGGAACTCGTGAGCCTCAGCGAGCAACAGCTTGTGGATTGCGATCACGAGGTTCGTTCATTCACCTCTCTTGTATATTGATGCATTGGTACTGCTTTGAATTGGATCTGTATGGTTATTTCCTGCTTTTCTCTGGTCAATCTGTTATTAGAATGGTTGTTCCTGTTATGGATGATGAACTGCAGACTGATTGTGTTCTTTTTGTTGATTCTAGCGTCAGTTGTGTTTATAATCCTCACTTCCTCACTGCGCAATTAAGGGTGTCTTGTTGATTTTTGTTGATTAAAAATCCCCTATTTAACAGTACTACTCTTTGAGTGATTTGTAGTTTTTCCCATATCAAAGCCTACAAGTTTAAAGGAGAAGTATATGATATATTTGAGTAGAATATCGCTAGATAATGCTGAAGATTCTTGTGATGTTGATAATCTATAAAACCATTCTTGAATTTTGACTGTATAGACACTTGCATATTATGCACGATCAGCAGCATACCGATTGTTTGTCGTTGTGTTTATCTAGTCTTACTTATGCTAGTTGTTTGTGGGATCACATGTTAATATTTATGAATACTTAAGGAAGTTGTATGGGTTAATATGTTATTAAATGAGTTTGAAAAGGGGGAAAGTTGTGGAACCTTCCTGACATTGCCAAAAGATGTGATGAGGAATTATAATCATTAAAACCTGGTAAAAAGGGGAATCTGAAATATGATTGCATATTTAGCCAAGAAATACATTGATGATGGATGTTTACATCTGATGGATGATATGGTGCTACGTTTCTTACTTCCTTTCAATGCTTGTTAGTGGGAGTGATGATGGCATTTCTAGTTATTTAATTAAGAAAAAGAAATGTAAACATAAACTGGGCAAGAAGGAAATCTATATATGTTTGAATGTTAGCCTTAGAAATATTGGATGATGGATATTCACATCTGTTGGAGGAAACTTCTGGGTCATTTTATCCATATTTCTAAGTTGAGTTTGCACCTTCTCTTACAGTGTGACCCAGAGGAACCAGGTTCATGTGATTCTGGGTGCAATGGTGGGCTGATGAATAGTGCACTTGAGTATACGCTCAAAGCTGGTGGACTTATGCGAGAGGAGGACTACCCTTACACTGGTACTGATCGTGGGACCTGCAAATTTGACAAGTCTAAGATTGCAGCCTCAGTGGCCAACTTCAGTGTAGTCTCATTAGATGAAGATCAAATTGCTGCCAATCTTGTGAAGAATGGTCCTCTTGCAGGTAAATAACTAAATGTAAATATAGAATTCAATTCATCTGAAAAAATTGGTATTTCTGCTTGGTGCCAAGGTACATGCTGACATTTTAAAGAAATATCATTCTGCTGAAGGGCTGATGGCAGCTGATCAAAAAAGAAAGAAAAAAAAAAGGTTGATGTGAACTATTAACAATGCTGATTAACCCTATTTTTGGCATAAATGCAGTGGCAATCAATGCAGTGTTCATGCAGACATACATTGGAGGAGTCTCATGCCCATATATTTGCTCAAGGCGCCTAGATCATGGAGTGTTGTTGGTGGG